ATAAATAAATTAAGAACGCTCAGGTACTAATACATTCCGGGATTGAGATATTCTCATATATTTCTTTGTTCTGCTAAGAGATTAACAAAAATTATTGCACAGCAAACATTTTTAAGAGCGTCGCATTCGATTACCACTGCTCTTTTTTTTTGTGCTTTTAATAAAAAAGAAACTTAGCTACATTAACTGAGCAAAGCCAAACGATAATTCGTAAACAAAACGTCTGCGTACGTATTTTTATATATATGCACATATATATTTATTTATATATACAATATAAAGATATACATTTGTGTACTACGTGAATGCATTTGCTCTTGTTTATTTCAAAAAAGAAAATAACAACAACGTTGCGAGAGGAAGAAGTCAAATTCATTGATTCTCGTGGGTATTATTTTAGATGTCTTTTAGAATTCGTTGTAAACGGTGGGTATATAGCAATTTCCGGCAGTTTGAAAATTTGCTGAAAGGGGACATAAGAAAAGAATCAAAAATAAACAAACGTTTAAAAAGGTGCAAAATGAAAAGAATAAAAACTATTTTCGTTGAATATATGTATTTTGCAATTAATAAATTTTTATTGATTAAAAGCTGGAAAAAAAAGTCATAAAAATATTCCCATGTTTAAAATTAAAATAGAACAATTTATTAAAGACAACAAAAACTTAGCTCATCGTGTATAAAATTGGAGGGATCCTAAATACCCATCGTACAACAAAGTATGTATAAGTATGTTTTCAAAGCTTTTGAAAGAATTTGTCAAAGGTTTAATAGAAGAAATTCCGGCTTTTAGTTGAAGCCAGATCGATTAAAAATTCAAGTTATGGAAAAAATTATCCGCTCAATTTTTTTAAATGCTTGACTTACATGTTACTTACATTACCTTAAGGCTGGGGCTATACAAACTGATACAGAAGAATCAACATGAATAGCAAAGAAAAATAATACTTGGGAAATAACACTTACTGCTTCTGCGGAACGGGGGTGCTGGGTTTGGAACCTATATTGCCATTTTGAAAACAACCGCTGTATGCATTGTCATAATCGTACTCATAATGTAGAAACAATACATTATCAAAAGATTAACGGATATATTCATTATAAAAATATAGTTACTGTGCTCTCAACCAAAATGTGGTGGAATACTAGATTTTTATATATACCCATGAGGCGCTGTAATATACACATACGTTAGGGAATAGTTAAGTGTATGTGTACATAGGATATTGAAACAATTTTAATCATTTACTGTCAATCTAACTCAACTACTGACCAACCATTTAGTGTAAACTGTTATACTTTTTTTATACCTACCACCGGAGGATTGATCATTTTACCCGTCTAAGTAATGCCTGTAGTCCACATTCTCTTGATAACAAAAATGAAAAACTGATTCCAAATTTGGTATGAACATTGCAAGTTCTTGCGCGCAGGATTTTATTGAAAATGTACCAAATCTGTCAAGGAACATGCCCACAGTACAATATAAATTCAGAGCACCTTACTTTTCAAAAGCAAAAAAAAAAGTAGAGTTTACTGCTCGTTAGTCATAAATTGCAGCAATAAATATCTGCTTATTCGTTTTTAACATAAAGATTAAGGGTATAAAAGATCCGATAACAGAAAAATGCAAATTTCTTATTCGTTAGATTTTCTCATGAATCCATTAACAGGGAGCAGCTTTTGAGCCACCAAAAGTGCTAAAGACAAAATCATCACTTTACATCTTAGTCATTAACTTGGATATTTTATTTATCCAATTGACGAACTTTTCCTTCTTTTAATTTGCACGCTCAAAAACACTAAGAAAAAAACTCGAATCTTTGATCGATTGACACTTCAATATAATTAATGCCAGATCGTTTTCTTACTTTTTCTGGATAAAATTATCTGTTATTTTCTCTTTTTTTGGACGTTGACTTAAGATGGGCCAAGTCAATAAATTTATGGCTTATATGTCGAAATTATTAATTATCAGAGGTCAACAAATCGGTGCCACGCAAAAAAGGAGATAGTCGGAAACCGGTTCTTTGTACACTAAGTACATCGCAATAATAACTGTTCATAAAAACTCATCGAATAATTTACTTCATGCACCTTTACATCAATTGGATTACTCTTAAGATTAGGAAAAATGTGAAGAAGCTTTAAAACAAATGCATTTTGGGGATATGGATGCTAGAAACCTTAAGCTATGGAAATATAAGGAATTTGTAGCAAAATGATGCTCGATTTTGATCAATGCAAATGCGAATGGATTATACGCTCCAATGAAGTCGGAATTAACCAAATCTTCCACTGCTGGAAATGCAATCCGAGCATATTTCTACAAAACCTAAGCCGAATTTAACAGTAATAATGCACACCATAGGCTTAGTATGTACTTGAGTTCAGCTATAACAGGGTGGTGGATCAACAGAGTACCATTCGCCTTTAAGATAACTCATTTCTGCAATGTCCTTTGTTGGCTTTTAAAGATGTGGCTCATTTACGCCTTATAAGCTGACCCTTAGCTTGTACATTACTTAAAACACAATAATAAATTTAATGCAATGACTGTGTAAAAATATATATCGCACATATTTATCACATTTAGGTCAAGTTTAGTTTCTTCTGTTCAATTTAGTTTTAAATCCCTCTTCATTTTATTTATTTATAAAATCAATTTCTTTGAAAACTTGCTATTTAATTTCAACTTTATTACCGACGAATGTTATTCTTTTCAGTTTTTATTACAAAGGCACTCTCTTTACAAAGTACAAAATCCAGAGAGTATTACCAAGAGAAAGCGATGACCTCAGAGTGCAAAAGAAGAGAAATAACAGTGTCAATAAAAGAGCTGTAAATAAGAGCTAAAAGCAAAATAAATAATAACACCAAAGAATCAGAAGGAAAATCTATGGCGAAAAAAGGATAAACAAATAAAACAAAACCGTGTTTTGACGAAACGGTACTTAAAGAGAAAAAGTGTGAACATTAAAAATAATAAGAATTTTATAAACAATATGGATTTGAGCAAAGGAAAATGGCTCAACAGAAACCATTAACGTATACATTGCTGGTTCATAATGTGTTAAATTACTGCCAACGTCATAATGGCGCGCATTTTTTCTACCAATTCAATGCATAACATTTGTATTAAATCTTAATAAACTTTACTGACGAGAAAGGCATGTACTTTTTTATTGCAGCCTATAAAATCTCCAGATATAAAACTTTTGCCAAAAACCGCCACTATTTAGGAAAAAATTTCTCTACACTTTCTTTTTCCATTGGTCGAGACCGTCCATGTTACATATACACAACAGACCGCGCCGAAAATCCATCATTTTGTGAAATTAATGGGGGCAACCACCAGCATAAAACATGCATTACTTTTTTCTTCATTGAGTCATTAAACACTTTTCTGCGAAAACAAAAATTATTATAAGAATTTTAATGTCTTAGTTTGAAGCCGCCTTATCAGTTTCCATACTTATTTCCAACATTTTGACATTTTGATGTCCAGAAAAAAAGTATTTGTAAATGTTTTCCTCGATGTTTGTATTTTTTCTGTGTGGCTGCACAACTCACCGTAAAGAATTCGCTTTAGAAACTTTCAGACGTTTTTCTAATTTGTTTTCTTTGCTTATAACACGCAACACTTGTTAACATTTACGAGGGGTTTACAAGTGCTAGTGAATTTGATAAACAAAACAAAATATTTACGTGATTCTAAAATTTCTTCAATAATAATTTTTCACACAGAACTTTTCCATCCGTCGTTGCCGAAGTTTGATTCGTTTGTGGTCATTTTTGATGACAAAAAAAGTGATGAAAAAAAGAAAATGGCGAAATTCATTACACGGTTGCATACGATGACATTAAATGAATTAAAGTGGAAAGACAGAGCTGTTAAGCAAAATTTAAGATATATTAAAACAAAATGGAATTTAAATTAATAAATATTTCTTATTTTTTATGCCATATATTAACATTTATATGAATTTATACGAATGCGAAAATATTATATACAAAACTTGACTCAATAAGTACTTAGGACAGTCCTATAGATTTCTGATGACTATTGATGAAGTGATTTTTTGATAGTACCAGTTTAATTTACAAATTGCAATTAATTTAGCATGACGCTATATACGAAATTCAGATTTTTGCGTTGATTTACAAAAAGAAAACTAACGTCATTAAAACATTGCAATTTGTAAACTATAGTGAGAATGTTATAAAATTTTGATACATTTCGTTTGAAGGCTGATACTATCTAACAGCCTTATTCTGGCATTATCACCGTTAAAATAAATAAAATAAAATAGTCATAAAATTTGTGATAGTGTTTGCTTGTCATCGTTTCGGCCATTTTATGTCAAATTTCGTATTTTGAGGAAGTTGTAACAAAAAAATCTCCAATATCAAATTTGCGCTAGCATAAGGTTATTAGCTTACACAACTTACAAAATACAAATGTGATAAATAAATGATGAAAATGTTAAATCAATATAATAAAAAAAATTCGTATCACTTTTACAATAATTGACCAACCTTTAACGCTGTAAGTTAATGAAATTGATTAATAAATAAATTAATAAAGAAAATAATACAGTTTCTTTTACAGGCTTACCATTCGTTATTTTCTAAAAAACTGGTTAACCCCCGAGTCCCACACAGTGATATATTATATATGTTAAAGCTATTTATGTGTATTATATTTGATTGCAAGATAAAGTAAAGATTGCATAGTCTATATTGCTCTATACTGCTAGGTTAGCAGCAGTCTCTGAATGACATTTATATCTCTTAAATGGGACGATGTCCGTTAAATGGGACGAAGTAACAGATTTCGTCACGGCGATGTCTCTTAAATGGGACCAAGTAACAGAACTCGTCACGACGATGTCTTTTATATGGAACGAAGTGGTAAATAAAAACCGTAACAGCTGGATTTATAATATAATAAACAATAATGAAGAACGTGAGAGAGTTAAGGAAAAAACTGAAGAGTTGCAATGTCACATTGATGAAACTAGTTGCAAAAACAAAGCCAGCCATACCACAATGCAAATGCTAACTGTTTAACAATCAATTTCATATCAAATGCAATACAAAAATCATTCGTCGAAGTTTTTATTAAAATCATTCAATTAGCATAAACAATTTTCCCCTATCTATGTCCATTGTCTGGGCTACTGGCCAAATGAGCCAGTAAGCACTGAGACAAAGAATACCGGTAAAACAATTATGTGGTCTACGAGAAGATTTTGAAGAAGAATGTGTTATCGTTGGAACAATAAACCTAATATTCTTAAAGATATTTCTGAAGAAAATCAGTTGGCTCCACAACCTCAAAAATGGATGTTTTTGGTTTCATGCAACTTAATCAATTAGGAAAGGTATAAAGTATAAAAAAATACTTTGAAGCCTTTGATATATAGATAAAACTTTCTTTCATTTGTGTAGGAGGGAAGGAGCTAAGTTCGTTTATATTAACATTTCACATCTTACGGTACAGCGTTCATATAACTGCATACAATAGAGAAAAATAAATAATATGTAGAAAACAAGGAAAGAAGAGGCTTAAAGAGGTGAATGAACTCAAACTGATGATCTGAACAAATCACAATTGTGGTTGAGGTATAATATTTCTCTAAAAGTTAAAATCGCATTTAAATTTATGTTATCTTTTTAGATAGGACTTTTTATTTAATAAATAGTATAACTTGCCGAAATTGCACTTTTTATCTGTGGAATCGTATTGATTAATAATATGTTTTTTCTTTGTATATTTAAAAAACATAAAAAAATATTTTTTAATATGTATTTTTTATACGAATTGTAATACTGTAGCATACCTGTCAAAGTTAACGTTTGTTCACTGTTTCTTGAACAAACGTTAACAGCCTTTCAGATAGATTTTTAGTTAAATATATATGTAACTAATTTTTGCAAAATAAAATTATAGACAAGATTTTGTTCAAACATGTGTCAAAAGATTGATTAAAAACTTGATCTATTCCCTTCAGTTAATAAAGTAACCCTGCATAAGGAATAATTTTTAAATTCCAAGATTATCTATTGGATATTTTGCGATTGTTTGAAGATTTAGGTGGACAGTGACTTGATTACTTGCAACGATTTGTTTACGTTTACAAATAAAAAAAAGTGATATTGATTTTCGGATATGCAGAACTCGTTAAAGAGTTTTTTGATATGGAACCAATAGTGTACTAATATCGCAAAGACAAAGCCCCAAACTTGAAATGCAAGCTTTGCGGATTACTCTTTCCTTCTTATAGACACGTTAACAAGTAAAGGGTAACAGCTAACAACCTCTATATCAATATACAACAAATCGTGCACACTTCCTAATCGTAAATAAGGAAGTACTAATTGGGAATGAAAGTTCAGATCTAGTTTAAAAACACGCAACCTTTGCTTTATGAACGGTTAGTGGCAAAGTGCAAGAACATGTTTTGGATGACTGTAATTATTTATGAAAATTAACGATTGAAAGAGCAACTCCAAAGGAGAATTTTGAGCGCGCCCATTGAATGCAAGCAAGATGCTTTTTTTTTTTTTAGGCTTTTGTGTAATTGCTGAGCTGCCCGATGTATTTATGCCCATTAAAAGCAAGTTCACCTACTAAGGTTAAAAGCAATTGACTACTCCAATGATGCTCGCACTTGAATTTTTCGATTTATTTTAACTGAAAGTTTAAAACATATGAAAACATCTTTAAAACATATATAATAAATCGCCCTTAAAGGATGGCTAATTTCGTTAATTGATAGCTTGTAATTTCAAGCAAATTTCCAAGCTTATGTTTAAATCAGGCTTATAGCGATTAATTAAACGCAATAAGTTTAGTTTTTTATTTTTGGAATGATTTGATTCCAGTTCATATAGAGTTGACAGATTAACTAATAAACTTTCGTTGAGGGACTTCTGCGGATTTAGATTAATTGCCCTTTCGAAAAGATTGATAGCATCTTTGAGTTTACCGGCATACAGGAGGCAAACCCCCATATTGTTTAATATCATTGTATTACCCGACTCCAAATGCAGAGCCTTCTGGAATGTGGCATAAGCTTCAGGGAAATCATTTTTGGCCACTGTGATAAGACCTTTATCAACCAAATCACGTAAATCGGGTTGGGAGTAACTGAAAGGGTAGAGAGAGAATAAAAAACAATGCAGCAGTTTTAACAAAAAAACCTATCTAAGCTGCCTAAGATCGCTTTAATTATGTATTTATTGTATTTGAAAAATCTTACATTTTTCGTAAGCGACGGGCTTCAGCAAATTTTTGTTCTGCACCGAAAATATCGCCGATTTGTAGATAGATACGACCCCACGCAGAAAATAAAGCCCGTCTCTCTTCCTTGCTTAAATCGGAACGATCGAAGATCATGCTTCTTAATATGTCGTCAATTAAGTTGAATTTTTTCATCTAAAATTTTCAATGTAAAAATATTACATATATACTGTTCATATTTTTACGTACAATTAAAGCACAGTTTACTATGGCATGCAAAACCCTTAATTCGCGTTTTTTCCAAAACTCCTGGGCCTCTGGTGGTTGCCTTTCGTTGTAATATTGTTTAATTTCGTTACAAATTACATACAATTCGGAAAGACGATCCAATGCTAATTGCGGATTTCCCAAGTAAATTGGCAATTCCGCCAATAATAGACGAAATGAAAAACTAGCTATTGAACCAGTTTTATCAGGATACATTTCGGAATAAAACTGTCGAAGAAGTGTAAATTTAGAACATTTTTAAGGACTTTTTCAAATACTACCTCATAGTATACATCGGAGCGATTTAATAATTCGAATGGCTCAGCTTCTTGTTGTAGCAATTCATATTCTCCCAATTTAGCTAACAAAGTTAAGCGCGTAAACCACAATTGGAGAGAGTGAGGTGAATGTTTGGATGGCTGACCTGCTCTGCCATAACCTTGACCATAGATAGTTAATAAACGCCCGGTAAGATTTACGGCAGCTCTATAGCAACCAGCCGCTATCAAAGAGCGCAGACCTCTTTCATCTTGGGTAACACTATCAGCATTTAAAATTTTACGTAAACATAACTCTTGATTACCTAAGTGTTCTGAAACGGCGGCCGCTATTAAATCAGGCTGGGATATCGCAATAAATTACATGTCCTCGTTTTACAACAATTGCGTACCGAACTTACCAAATCATTAGCTATTCGTATGCCAGGCATCGTTAACAGAGGCGGTACTCCTGGTTCAGTATGTGGAGGCTCCCAAAAGTTTCTTACTTGATCTGGTACCTTTAAGTCCTCTTCCAGTTCGCCTGGATTTTCGATATATTCTGGCGGTTTGAAACCCCCACTGAAAGTATGGCTGGTTAAATTCCCTATAGTTCCTGTACTGGGAGTTGACTGCGATGTGATGTTGGCAAAATTTGATTGTAAAGAATTGGGGCCAGCAGTCGCTTTAATGCCTTGATTTTGGCAATTCGTTGCCAATGCATTTGTTCCATCCGTTGCACTCTCACTGACAGATGCTTTATTAGCGGCTATTTCATCAAAAAAACTAGGCGGATCATTAGCGAAGTATTGACTTAAACTGGGTTCAGAAATGTTATTGGCCTTGGAATCCATAAAATTGTTGTTTTTTTCTCAATTTTAGAAGTACTTTTTTCTTTTTCAAGAACTTAGCTCAGGCTTTCTTTCTTTTTTTCTAATGTTTGCAGCAGGCAGGTCAACGATAAATGACTCTCTGCGTTTTAGCCGAAAAATTTCAATGAACTCACTTTTCAATCAATTGGGAAAAGTACATTGAAAACAAATATTTACATTATATTCTTCTTCTTGTTCGTTTTAATTATTTCTTTGCACAACACATAAACACCTGACACAATTGTTGCGTTATATGTCCTACGTAGCGCGTAGCGCATGAAACTGTTAAGACAAAATTGATTTTGTGGTGTGTGTGTGGGTGTGTATTTGACAATCTAATGTGCGTTGCGTTTTACGTTGACGTAAATCTTTGATAAAGTTTTTAAAATTGCTGCGTGCGTCGTTTTTGACACCCAAAGCAGCGACGCACAATAAGACAAAAGAAATCGCATGATTTTCGGCTTTACAATGTATGGTTGATTATATTTTTATTATTGGAAGAAAAATTCAATAAAGCCGTGAACAACAAATAGAAGGAAGAAAAATTAAATGTAATTCAAACAATTATTTGCATTTTTATTATCTGATAACTAGAAGAATGAAGAATAAACTACACCAAATTAAATGAATAGAGAAAAAATGAAAGTCATATATGCAAAAATAAGAGAGGAAGAGAATTTACTAAACGCAAGAGGTATACGACAAACGGCTTTTGGTATAAAATACAAGGAGAAAAGATCTGGGAAGGTATATTCAGTGTAATACGAAGATAGTCTCTCGGGAAGTGGCATCTTTGTTGAAATTTTCAAGTGACAGCCCTGCCACGCTATGCTTTCTTAAGGGATTTTTTAATGCCGAACAAGAAAGTATGAGCATTTTCATTTTTTTGTATGGGAGTGAAACAAGTTTGGTCGTTGAACCACTGTCGGTGCAATTGGTTGACGACAGTACCACACCAGCACCACAAACCAAAGCACAGCTAGCTTTAGCTAGGAGACTTGACGAAAAACTGAAAACGACAAATTTTGGAAGTAACGCTCAAATTTACTAATGCAGTGGAGTAATATTTAAAAGAAAAGAAAAAGAGAGTGATGGAATGTGGACTCCTTCATGGCGAATTTGTTCAGCTTTTGCTCTATAAGTGAATAATTCACTCTTATGTTTTGCCTTATGGATGGAAATTTTTTACTTTTTTTTATTTATTTATTTGTTATTGTTGTTGTTAATGTTATAAAAATTTGTGTAAGTTTTATCAAAACATCATGCAGTTGAAGGCACTTTTGTTAGCATTGTTTGCTGACAACTTCCTTCCTTTTCCTAATAGTGTTGGGTTCTGTCGTCATGATACACTTTTTAACTCACCGTTCACTTCGGAATCTCCTTTTGTATATATTATTATTATTAATTTCGCCAGAGAAATAAATTCTAAGACTAAACTCTTAAAAGCACTAGCATCTAAGGCTATCGGCTTTTTATTAAAAACTCTACCGCACTTGAGATTCGAACCCACGACCATTGAATTTGAAAATGAATTATTGTTAATTATTATCGGTTGCCAGACTTGTGCATGTTTGCGATGGCTTAGGGGCTCATTTGCAATTTGGTCCTGTACCGGTTGTAAGTGTGGCCCTATGCTGATAGTGTACATGCTTTTTTTCTTTTTTTTTCCTTCTTATTTGCTTTATTGTACTTATACTAAGTTATATTATTAATTAATATAATTTTTGCATTATGAGCCAATTGAACTCGTCTGTTATTTGGTTAGTTGAGTTTCTAGTATAAGTAGAATTCAAATAAATAAATAAATAAATAAATACAATCAATACTTGATGGAAATATATAAGATCTTATATGAATCTTATATAAGATGTTATATGAATCTATGAGAATTTTCACTTAGTGTCGGTATCCAAATGAATCCAACTTTTAGCTTTAAAGCCCGGTCCGAAACGGCCTTTAATTTCGACGAGATTAAAACATTTTATAGACGCATGAGTAACTACACTTATAATAGTCATACATTTAACAATGATTCACGTAATACCGACTTATAGCTGTGAATTTTACGAAAAGTGTGACAGAAGTGTTGGATCGCTACATATTTGACAATATTAGAAGGTCCTCTACTTTTAATCTATTGAGTTTATAAAATAGCCTCCTTGATCTTTTTGATACAAAAAATGATACTCATCTGGAGTAAGAGGAAATTTCTATTTTTTAAATAAATTTACTTTCTTTCTTCAATTATATTCAATAATTTTCTCCTAAATTTATATTTAAACAAAGTAAGAACATTACAGTCATGCATGGCCGATCATTAGATACCTTACACCATGTCGCGTAGCATAGGTACTCATTCGTTTTGCATGCACAAAATATTGTAAAATTCGCGTATTTGAAAAAATCCTTATATGCGGTGGTATCAAAAAAAATACACCTACGAGGCCCGGATACGATAAGGTTGATTTCTATGTTAACTTACTATTATGAATTAATTTTCATCAAAAAATATAAAAAATTATACTCGATTGTACTCAGAAGGAAGCTTCGGAAACCCCACAAAGTGCATATATTGGTGATCAGCATCAAATTTTGAATCGATTTAAGCTTATTCGTCTGTCCGTCGGTATAATATGTGTTATAAACAGCTATCGACTTCGAATTTTGCAAATAAATTGCAAGTTCTTGCACGCAGGTTGGTATTGAAAATGGGCCAACGAAACTCCCACACCACCACATAAACTGAGAACACTTCTGTTCTTCAGAAGGGATAAAAATTACTTTTTTACTCATCACTGATCAACTATAGCTTCGAAATCCCCATAAAGTATATTAATTCGGTTTTTAAAATTTAAAATGCACCTAAGAATGCCCATTTATACGCCTGCCCATCTGTCCGACTGCCCAACCGTGTAGTATCTGTGTTAAACGTTCTCTCGTTCGCAGCAATGAAAATATCACCTATAAATTTCCAAAAGAACATGGAAGCGATGTAAACTTTTCAAAGGACACGTCTACAACGATTACGTGACTATGCGATGAAAACTTTTGTTTTGAAAATAAAACTGTCAACCTCGCTCACTCCTTATTACAGAGCATGAAAATTGAGTATGGCTGATGGGTATAAAAAATTGCCTCACGACTTAACACAATTTTCTTACTTTTTAAATCAATTTTTGTATGATAGAGGCAAGAGGATGATTTCAAAAAATTACCCCAACCGAACTACATTTTTCACATAAATTTACCAACCAAATATTATTCCAGAGCGAGTTTTGTCGACGAATTCTGAAAATTGCAATTTTCTTCCATATAACGACTTTCCTCAACTGGACGTTATATCTTCAACTGCCCCTGTCTCTACAGGAGTGCTTAAGGAAACAATTCCTTTAGCGATATGTAATGAAACAGATGCTACGTTGTCATCTACCGGCTGTGAAACGACAATAGATTTTCTTCTCGAAATGTTGAATAAACCTTAAAACCGGATGGGCGGTAAAAACTTTGTTGAGCATGTAAAAAACCACCCATTTTCTTGTAGTATTAATTGGGCTGATCTGAAAAATAAAAAAACAACAAGTTTAAACTATGACGAGGATAGGTAAAACTTTAGCGAAGAGTCTACAAATCAACCACTGCTCGGTTTTCCGGCTCGAGTTTATGATAACACGCATCGTCTGTTCGGGGGATATTCGTACATAGCATCGCGAGGTTAGCCACTAAATGCTTTGCCATTTATATCAAAAACTGTGTAATCCAAAGCTAACTAGTCTTTTCGGAAGAAGGCGTTTCTTCATATGATATATGAATCGATATTGAATGGAAAATATCGTAACAATTACTTTCGAGTAAAATCTCACTTACCGTAATTGGCTCATTAAGATATAGATAAGATATTCGACAGGGATATCTTATTCCTGATTTTACCTTATCCTGATTCCTGATTTTGATAATTGAAGTGAAAAATAAATGGTGTTGCGCACGTATGGTTCTATTACACTGGGCAATACCTTGTTGAATTATTAATCTTGTTCCGCTTTTTTGCTTCAATTCTTAAGATATTTGATGGCTTTTCGTCGCTACTTTGTGTTCACTTCTTTTTTTAATTTAGTTATTTATTTATTTATTTATTTATTTCACTTATACAAGAAACTCAACTAAAAATTTGACAGTCGAGTTCAATTGGCTGTTATAATAAATCTTAAATTAATTAATAATAAAACTTAGTATAAGTACAATAAAACAAATGAGAAGGCAAAAAAGAAAAAAAAGAAAAGAAGCATGTACACAACTAGCGTAGAGCCACACCCACAATCGGTATAAGAACAAATTGCAAATGAACCCCTAAGCCATCGCAAACATGCATAAGCTTGGCAACCGATAATAGCTAACAACAGCTAGTTTGAGTACGACATAGGTAAATCACGCGTATTAAGTAATGTTGCTTTAATGGACTTTAAAGAGTCCGATAATGAGAATAAGTGATAGACATGATTTGGGTTCTTGCAAACAACTCTGAGAGGGTTAAACAGCTCATAATTATATTTACATTGACTAAGCTTAACCAAAGTAAAGTGCCTAGAGAAGCGGTTAGAGACATTAAAGCTTATTTCACCAAGTAATGCAGGCGAGTCAATAGCACCATTTATTATTTTGATTACGAAGGAAACGCCAAGAACAAATCTACGTTTCTCGAGTGACGGTAAGGACAACAGAAGCAATCTATTTTCGTAGGGAGGAAGAGAGGAAATCGAATCCCAATCAAAATTCTTAAGGGCAAGCAGCAAGAATTGCTTTTGCATAGATTCAATTGAATCTACGTAGCACCTATATGAAGGAGACCTCACAACAGGGGCATACTCAAGTATAGGTCTAACCAAACACATGTACAGCCTTTTCGCAATGTAAGGATCATCAAGCTCTTGGACCACCTCTTCATAAAACCAAGCGTGGACTTAGCTTTGCTTAACGAGAGCTCAATGTACAAATTAAAACGTAATCTATGGGTCAAATAGAACGCCTAAATCTGTGAACGATAGATAGAAAGAAAAATATCGTAAAAATTACTCTCGAGTAAAACATCTTGATTCGATCATTTATTGTTCGCGCGACTGACAAATACTTCACAACTCTATCGAATAACTCTTTGAAAACTTTATATATATATATGTATTAAAACTTTATTTTTGTATAATCCACGTCAGTAGTTATGTATTTATATATATATATATATATATATATATATATGTATTAATTTATATATATACAACTTGTAGTTTATTGTATTTTTTTATAGATATTATATATGTATAACATAATGTAGATTTTTTAAAATATTATCTACGCTAACCATAATGCATTAATATTCGAATAAAAAATTTTTGTACATCGTTTAAATAGTAAATTTAACACTTATATGCATGCTGCTGCCAATTGTTTACATTCCAGTTCCATCTAATTTTAAAATTAATTCTAATTAACTGTCAACTTTATTGTATTTATTTGCTGTTTTATTAAGTAATCAAATAGAAAATGTTTTTAGTGATTTGGTTAAGGTCGGCCTGACCCGATTATAATGCGTTTATAGGCTGCAAGGATGATTTTTTTTAAAAAATAATTCCGGATACACGGGAAGTAAATAATTAACGTTTCGAATCGATTTAAGCATGGCTTGTATCATATCTTGTATGTTTGTCTTTATCTTTACCTTTTTGTGTTCGTATGCGTGCAGTATTAGATCCGTTCAAGTTGCAATGAACAGCGCTGTAGACCAACGTCTGTGTTATTGCACTGTAATCAAATTTACACAAATAATTTAACATAATTAATATAATTAATCTTAAAATGCAATATGCTATCGCTTGGCTGGCTCACTGCAACTCCACTTCACATAGATTAAAAAAAAAAAAAAAGTTTTGAAAATCATATTGACATATCAACATTTTGCGTTAGTATTGAAGATATTAAAAACCAGTAAGAACTTTATAGTCGGGCAACGCAGACCATTACATATTCTACTCTATTTCGCCTAATATAGTTATTCGTTCGTTTTGTTAATATTACACCAGGAAGTATACCGTACTTTCAGGCAAAGTCATAATTTTCATGAACGACCGCATATTGGAAGGTTCGATTTTTTCTCCACAGTTTCCGTTTGCGTTTCATGATAGCGCCTGCATACGTTGGGGTCCAAAAACAATAGTCTTATATGATACAAATTCCCTACCGTTCATTGTTTTTTGTTGAAATGCTTCTATGAGTTATCTTATATGGAGTGGAGGAAGAAATAGATTCGTGTGGTTCAAATTAGGACCACTTAATTTTTTTATTTACCTACTATCGTGAGAAAATTTTCATCGCAAAAAAATTAACAATTTAGCTTTCTTGGCATCTAAGGCATATATACGTTTCACGAGAATCTCTGCGAAGATATTTAAAAAATCGACCTACGTGGTCCAAATTCGGTAAACTTGCCAATTTGCTATTATGAGCCAATTTTCATCATGAAATATTGGAGATTCGACCTTTCCACCATATAAAGATTCAGTGATACCGTAAGAACGGTTATATGAGCTTTGGCTCAAAAAATTGCCCCAGCCGGTCCCAAGTTTTCGCAACAATTTAGAATGCCGAAATACTATTACTTAGCCACTTTTGCAGAGAAATTTTGAAAATTGCAATATCTCCTTTCTGCCGACTAATAGTATTTTGGCATTCTTAATTTGTGTGAAACCTTTGGAACGGCTGGGGCAATGTTTTGAATCTACTCTTACATGACAAGAACGTCTAATTTTCAATGTTTCAAAATGAAAGTCAAATTATAATAGTAATTTAAGATAAAAAAAACTGTACCAAATGTGGACCATCTGGGCCCATTTATTGGACCCTATCCTGTATAACGATCCCTTTATAGAGCAAAAAAGTGTTATTTTAATATGTTACGATAAAAATTGACTCATAATAATAATTCGATATGACAACTAACTCTACAAAATTTAGATCATCAGCGCCTATTTTTGGATCGCACCCTATATAAAGGAAAGATTATAATTGGTATGTTCTATGGTGAAAATAGGAAGCAGTAGATGGAAGAATAAAAATTTCTAAAATATTTCATAAATGATTTTCTAATACCCGTATAGAAATTTTAAAAAATCGGCTACGCATACTAAATATTATCAAGCATCGAAATTTCATTATATTCATCATCGAAGGTTGAGGGGTATATTCACTTTGTCAAAACGTCTGCTGCGCTCAGAAAAAGACTCGGAGACACCATCAAGTACACACGTTCTGGATTAATGTCCAATTCTGAATCGATTTAAGCATGTGTGTCTGTGCAGTGTCTGGTGTAAACATTCTCTTGACCGCAAAAGTGCAACTATCGACTTCAAAGCTGGCAGAAACATTAGAAGTTCTTGCAGGCAGATTTGTATTGAAAACGGGCCAACTCGATCGAAGGATACTTATACAGCACCATATAAACTGAGAACACTTTCGATTTTCAAAAGGAATAAAAAATTACTTTTTCGCTCATTACTAAGTTAAGGGTAAGACAATGTACACAACTTTTTACGCATATTCTATGTTCGATGCTGTAATACCTGCAGACGAATGAATCAAAATTAAAGAAGGGTGCATCAAAATTAAATCTTCATAACGCGCAGAAACAGACTTCAAAAACCCAACGAACTATATAGATTTTTGGTCCCACTCAAATTTGGAATGCGGATATGTTTAGGCCGTTTGTTCGTCTATCCGACATCGTAATATCTGTGGTAAGCATTTTCCCTTTGTGTAAGAATTTACAAGTCACCCAAACAAAGAAGTGGCCCAAGAAAATTAGTTGCACTTACTTCAAATTTAGTTCTTTTACTTCTTTTGGCTTTTTTACGATAACGGTGATGGGTATAAAAGATTCGATCAGAAACCGATTATAATAATCTCACTTGTCTTCTTTGGGTTATTTCTAAGATAAGAAAGGCAGTAGGTGTAGAGAATTTGGTCCGGCGGAATATATACAATTTTTTTAGTTGGCTTTTTTAGATATGCAAGAAATATAGGGGACCGATTATTGTAACATATCTGCCAAGAATATATATACATGTACCCATTGTAGAAAATTGAATATGTTATCTCCGGTGAAGAAGACTGGCACCAAAGAATTTGTACACAATTTGATATCTTGCTTGAATTTCTTTGAAACAATAAAGTCTTTCGCCACGTTACAGTGTTTGATTTAGTCACAAGAGAAAGTTCATATATTGGTAAAGGCAGGGACAAGCATCATCGCAATGTACATGATAGCTTTTCTTAGGATTTCCCACCGTATCTTATATGTAGTTATGCTTATCAACTAACTTTTAAGCTTTTCGTTCCCAATATCATGAATTCACTTACATCATGTGTTGAAAGTTAATGAATACAGAAATTACTCAAATACAGTTTAGAGTTAAAATAATTTTTTTAATAAATTGAATGAAGCCTAATACCCAACGGAAGTTATTTCTCAATTAGCATCTAGCTGAGCAGGCTACAAAAAAAAAAAAAAGGATTTTTTTCTTTTTGCTTTTATTTATTTATACTTTATTTTTAATTAACTGATGATTAATGATTTTTTTTTATTATTTTACCGCTTATACACAAGTAGAAAATTATACTCGCCATTAAGCGAATCTTCGATAACCGCCACCCACCACTTATAACGTATGTAGAATAATTGCAAAAAGTTTGGTTAACTCAAGCCATGATATTTAGTTGATTGAGATCGTTTATGCTTTTCAAGGGGTTTCGGCGGCATATTTGTACAAAACTGGAACGAACGAACGAACGTCTTTAGGAAGTTTCAGCTTTTTACCGCAAATCTTTGCAATTTAATGCAAATATAAATTCCACCGAATCAACGACGAACAGTAGTAGAAAAGAGAAACAGGAAGAGAGAAATGAAGAGACATAGACCGAACAATTGCCTGCAAATTCTATGCTATTAAAGAAGATTGCATTTGTTTCTTCCAAAACGGGACATCTGCTAATACGAACTCGTGATCATTACGACGAGTGAATGTTTTTGAGAGATCCGCGGCAAAAATTGCCTTTTTCATTACTATAAATGTTTGTCTGTCTGTCTGTCCGCGCAATCAAAACGTTTTGCGCAAAAATTTAATTTTTTTAAGCGAAATACAATCATTTGATGTCCATATGAACTGCATCATTCGTAACGCACTCGGGCAATCGTAATCAGATTTGGAAATTTTAATATCTCTGATCATTCGGTATATGTATAATTAATCGAAAAAAGTTTCCGGGATGTTATCATTTGTTTAAGTGAGTGTAGCAAATAGACAAAAGCAAATTGATAGAAGTTATCAATACTGAACAGACATTGCTAAACGGATCCGGAAGTGACTTGGTCTTAAAGATGCCATACATACTTAGCGCTACTGTTGCGCGATAAGGTGTAATAAAATTGTCTATTATTTGAACGCGATGATGTGGTGGGGAGGGGACACAATTCTTCTATTATGAATAATACCTACAAGTACAAAAAAAAAAAAAAAAAAAAAACGAAAAAAAAAATAAAACAAAATCTTAAAATTTTTACCGCTCAATAAATATTTTTTAAGTGCCATTTGATGACTTGGAACTATTTACAAAAAATTTTTATTTAATTATATTCGATTTTGATTTATGCAACGACTTAAAAGAATTACGTAAAACAATGAGTGAAACGTTTCAAGACTCTTTTCAAAATGAACCCCAAATATCCAGCACATAGGGTACACAACAATTTAATAGCTTAATTAATTTAATGTAAAGGTGACGACGAAGCATCTGTCCATTTGAACGGACTTATTGCCTTTCGTGAACTATTAAAGCAGGCGAAACTAAAGCGCCTCGAGCTTTCGTCTATTCGTCTTGTAACGAAGTATACGGTTGTGTGCGGTGTGAGCGGACGTGATTATAAATTTGTGAAAGCCGATATGCGGCCAAACCGATTTGGAATGAGAGAGATATTTACATGTATTGATGTCGGCTTCTGAGACATAGTGATCGGTGTTGATCTTGTTTTAAGCGTTGAACATACATTTGCACATCGTTTTCAACGCAAAGGCGTTAATTAGGCATTGATTAGGCATTTTATATAATATACCCATACAAACAGACTGACTTACCTTAAACACTTACTAAGAAAATGAAAAGTTTGCTGGAGGGCGTAAAGGAATGAAAACTTAAAATAAATACTCATAGTGTTAATGTTAATGTTATTGACCATTAAATATAGATTCGGGATAATAGCTTGGCGCGTTAAACATGCGTGGAAAACCGCTGGCATCTAGTTGATTAACTGGTAGCACAGACATGATGTCACTAAAATGAAAAAAAAAAAGAGAGAGAGAGAGAGAGAGAGAGAGCAGGAAAAAAAAAAGTGAAAAAAAATTCTTTGACAGAGATTTCAAACACGTGTTACATGGTGCAACATAATGCAACAACAATTTTAAAATTGTAGAAATTGTAACATAACACCCTGCGGAGAGATTTGACGAAAATTTCCAAAAACAAAAATTTTTCACAAAAAAAAATAAATTCAAAATGTGTTCTACACACTTGTTTTTCAATTTGCAATGAAGTTAAATAATTGAAGACAAAGGCTCCGTCGCATTTTGGAATATGAACACACACTTAGCACATGTTACACATAATATGGGATATGATGGGTTTCAGCTTTTGCGTCGGCGTAGGCTGTTCGCAAACGTGCGTACGTGCGAGCGTGCGTTTTCAATGGTCAGTATTGCAATGCCATCAAATGGCAATTTCATTCCGAAAAATCCTCTTTTATCGGTTTCGTCACACATGCCTGCATGTGCCATAATTTTAAGGAATTCGTTTTATTTATTTTCATTTTTTCTTTATTTTAAATTTCATTCCAGTTTTACTTCATTTGCAGTGAATTTTCTGTTGACGATTTATGTTTAAGTGCTTTTTCTATAAAAGTATTTAAAGAGAGTTAGTGCATAAGTGCTTTTCTCACTTGTTGTTATTGTTGTTGGAATTTATGTAGAAAAAAATGAAAATAAAAAACCATATACATATAGGCAGTGAAAAAGAGCCATATATATATATAAATAAAATAAACCTCTTGTATTACTTTTATGTGTAAAAATACAAATTTATTGCATTTGTTGTAATACGAAACTCGACATTGATGCTGTAAGGGCATTTCACGTTTTCATTTAAAACGTAAATTTTATAAGCAATTGAAGTGAAAAAAAAAAAAAAATAAAAAATAAAAAAAATTAAATAACTGAGAATGCGCCATAGCAGCCGAAGCTTCTTCCATATATACCCAAGCAATACTCTCTTCTTTGCTTTGAAAACTATTTTTTATTTTTTTTTTATTTATTTTTTTAATTTTTTTAAATTTTTTACGTTCTTCACGAACGCTTAGCAATCAAAAGAACAAAAAAAAAAAAAAAAAAAAAGCACAGTTTAGGTAGTTCGATAGAGTGAGTGTTTCCTAAAGGGCAATTCGGGACAACAACAATAACAACAACAACAACAACACTTTTCTTCTATATAATTGCAATACTCTTTCCGTCTCTTGGACTTGTCTGCCTTCTTATTGGCACGGAAGCGTTACAATTGGCGATTCAAGGATAATCGCCTATACGCTTATCAGGACACTCTCAACCATTCCTATAATATTTTAACGAACTCGTCATTATGCACAAGAGTACACTATTCCACTTTCACTATTAAATAGTAAACTTGTATACAGGATGCGAGCAATGAAAAGAAACTCAATTAATTGTCGGCATTTAACCATTAAAAAGGCAACGAAGGAGTCATCAAGGAGTCATTCATAAAAAGATTATTTAGATACTTGATGTCATCTCTTGCTAGCAGAGTGTTACAGAGTGTTTTGCTTCTTTAAGCGACTATATATGTAATGTCGAGTTAATAAATTAATAATTATTCACTGTCAATACTTACGGCCTTTGTTGAGGTGTACGATCTCTTTGCCGTCGATTTTTAAACCAATTGCTGACTTGCGTTAGAGTTAATCCTGTCTTTTTTGCTAAAGTCTTTTTCTCATCGGGAGTCGGATAACGGTTTGTTTCATAACAAACCTTTAATGCGTTGCGGCTTTTTTCCTTAAAACAATAAACAGTCTCCTCACCGTCCCATATTGTTTTCGGCAATGGATATTTTTTACGTAGCCGGTATTTATCTACCGCACCTAACGGGCGACCACGAACTTTTTCCGCTTCTTTATAATGCGCTTTTAACCATAGCTTCTGCAAATCCTCATGATATTTCACGGAAAAACAATGAGATTCCAGTAAATTGTATAGTTCGTGGAATTGACCGCGATGATAAGTCACAATGGCGCGCGCTCTTAAAACGCTTTCATTATTCTTAAATAATTCGGAAGCGGGTAAATTGCACAGAAATGTGGTGAGCTTTTCAATATCACCTTTTTGCTGTAAAGCCTCGCACATACATTGTATCTGTGAGAAGAAAAAAAATGTTTGAGAAAGCGTTCGCATAAATACTTTTTGCTTTAACACTTTATGCGAACCTGATCGGTGGTGAATTGTAGAAATTTCCTCTCTATTTGAAGATTGTTTGCTGAATTGCTGTTGTGAGATATTGTGCTGGTACTGCTCGATAATAAAGGAGTTGCATTTAGAGGGCCAGTGCCAGTGCGGCTTAATCCCTCTGCCGCATTGACATTTGTTAAGCCAATGCAGCCTATGTTTATAGCGGCAGTAGTCGTTGTGGAAGATTTCGACATGCCATTGTGATCGGCGGCTATTGGTGCTCCTACCCCAACTCCCCCATCGAATATTAAACCATTTAGACTGGAAGAAAAGACCGGTGAGGTGGTTGCTGTATTTGACGATGATTTCTCAAAATCACTGGTTATCTCTTGAAAACGTCGCTCCAATTGCTTATCCGTCGCATAGGGGGAAAACTTGTCCAAATGCAAAACTGTTTTACATGATAAATTACCACGATAGCCTGCGATGGACAAAATTTCGAAAGACATGATTTTTTAACTGATTGATTAACTGATTTCAACTTTTTATTGAGCATTTTTTCGTTGTTGCTTAAAGTTGTTTCATTTTTGCCGTTTGCTGTTCCGTATTATCCCTGACTATTATGCTGATCTGAACTATTTTATATTAACTTCTATTCCTTATTATTTTGCTTAACGAGATGACGCGAAATTGCGCTTAGCGTTGTCGCTAACAACTGAACAAACATTGGGTTGAATAGTTCATTTTATGAACATAGCACATGTTTATTCACATACATCACTTATCGATCAGGGTATAGTAAGTTCATGCGGATATTTGCAACACTCGAAACGGTCTAGGTTACGTTCACTTTACTTTAATACAGTAATCGATTCAGAATCGTTCCAGAATCGTTCAATTTATGCTTTTACGTTCCCCTGTTTACATTCGATATCTGTCTACGTATTTTTTTTGTATTTAAGCAGAAAGCCATTTCCGAAAGCCATTTGGATGTGATTTGGATCATTTTTACATCCACTCCCCATCGAAAAGGGTGTTGTATGAAAAAAAACTTGTAATATTGAAAATTTCTCAGCAAAAATCGGCCACTAATAATAATAATTCGGCCCGATTAATTGGTACAAAAAATTGAATCGGATTCTTCAAAATATTTGCAATGCCCTGCTATATAATCGCTTATACGATCAGTATACATCAAATATATTATTAATTCACGATGAAAATTGGTCTCTAATATTAATATTGACGGTACGTCCTAGTTCGACACCGCTCTTTACAAAATTTCTGATGTAAGGTAAGCTTTTATGTGCCGGAAAGGAGAAGAAAATCTTTGAAAAAAAATTAATTTTGCTAAATTTGTTGCCCTTATTGACCCTCTCCCATAGAGAGGGAGAGAGAGAAAGAGAGTTCTCATGAAGAGTATCCGTTCGCACGGAAACAAACTATGATTAATGGCATTTTATCACAAAAGCTGAAAATTTGTATCAAAAAGAATAGTGCAGGGTACTTAATGTCCGGCTTTGTATGGCTATAATATTTTTACTTGCTTCACTAGATTTTAATAAGAATCGAATTACCTGGAATTCGAACTATTTGGGCCATCCAGTAGAAATCAAAAAAAGCAAAAGACAAAAGCTTGAAACTTGAATATAATGAAAAAAAAAAAAAAAAAAAAATAAAAAAATAAAAAAAAAACATCAAGTATCTATTGTTCTTCTTAGCTGGTCAGGCAGGCGGCTTAAAAAGGGTTAAGATTTCGAATAGTGTGCATGTTCTCTGTGGTGATTAAAAGCTGAAGCAGAACAGAATTAAATCACGATTAATTTTACGTCTTGATAGTTTCTTCTTATATTTAAGCCGTCACTTAGAGGACGTTTAATAAATACCCAGGCATAAGCGTGTTCAGGAAGGTTATAAGTAAAGGGTAAAGGAAAAAGGGAGTAACGTTTCGAATTGAAGGCAGAAACATCTGCAACCGTGACAAAGACCATTCCAAGTGGATTGTGGGCGATTATCTAAGAAGTACTATGCGAAACTATTTTGAATCATATGCATTTACCTATCCGCCTATCAGCCGCCTCTCTAATGTTGAAATAGTTATTGTGGTGAAAAATTTTAAATCGTTATTGAACGTCTTCCTTTATGCTTTATGCTTTGATTGCATAACTGACACACTCACATTTAACAATTAATTTAGTCGAAGAAATGAATGCTAAGACCAAAGTCTTAAAGCATTAGCATCTAAGGCTATCGGCTTAATTGCAAAACACTGCCGCACTTGGGATATGAATTCACGTGAAAGTAGCATAGTAGCATAGCATACAAAGCACAATGCATGCAGGCATGCATCTGGAATTGTTATTGTTTAAGGTAAGTTTTCTGTAATCTCGTGATCATTTGTTATAGCAATTGCAACCAATTTATCCTAACGTAATGAGAATGTACGGACCGATCTTTGATGTCTTGTGTTTTATAAAAAATTTCGTGGCTGGCCGTCATCCGTTCTCCTAATGATCGCATGGAAATAGAATCCATGTTAATATATTAAATGTTTAAAAATTTTCAATCACTTTGATTAACATTTAGGGTCTATCGAGCTTAATATGAAGAGTATATGAAGAGATTTTCGGTTAAGGTGAAATGTGAAACGTAGACTTGAATTTAATGAGATTACATGGATTGCATAGAATAATGCGCATTTAAATTAACCATGACAGACGTCGTTCAGTGAATCTTCTCGTAATTCCTTTAACGAACGCTTCTATTTAGAAAGTCACTCGATTATGTACAATAGGTGAGTAAGTTAGTAGGTGTCCAGTTAAGTGCCCAGTTACAATAGCCAATAAAATCAGGCATTTTTAATTGATTGTTAATGCGTAGCCTTGTAAATATGTTTTATTGTAATATTATTCACAAGTTGGAATTTATAATAATCTACTACCATTTAACTGTATAGAGTAAAAGGAAAACTTTTGATAATTTTACATCTAACAATAGTAGTCGAACATGGTTTTTAATCTCGCTGCAAAGCGAATACTCTAAGATGGTTTTTACGGAATCGCGATTTTGGCTGAGATTTCGTCAAAGTATTGCAACTTGACTTTTCATTATTAGGTCGCCGAATTGTCATAAGCCTTTTTTTTTTGTTTTTAATTTATCATTTTTTTCACTTATCAATATTGATTCCTAATAATATTGACATTGTAGAGTTTTATGGTGACGCATATTGTATCCGTGATACTGCACATTGGTGCAAAGTCGCAAAAATGATGATAGAAAGCACTTTGTTTTCTCTCTCTCTCTCTCTCTCTCTCTCTCTTTCTCGGACCACTCGATCGAATGTCGAAAGAATCAAATGAGAAGTTGCAAAAAATTAAAGGAAAGGCACTATGATTTGTTAAATTTTGTTCTCCGCCCCACCCCCCCTTCCCCTTTTTTTTTTTTTTTTTTTGGTTAGTTTACTCCTACAACTTACCTGAATTCGGCAGGAAAATAGTACCATAGGATATAGGTGAATGCATATTATCCTGATTAAGTGTAGAATTATCTGACGAAGCTCCGCCGGAGCTGGCTGAATCTAATTCGCCGCCATTCAATGAGGATGACAATGTCGTATCCATGATTCTACGATATTTTCAAACACATTTAGAGCATTCTTTGGTTTTGATTAGACGAACAAAAAATGAAAAAACATGAAATTTTATTGATTTGCTATATAGTAAGTAAAGCACTGTTTGCTCTTTCGTTAAATTATATCAAACGAAAATGATGCTTCCTCGTTAGATATTAATTTTGCACTTCCGTTTCAAATTGACTTATCCGCACGCCTGTGAAGTTCGAAATGAACTGATTTGGTTAGAAGACGTTAATAGCACATAATTGAATTCAGCTTAACGTATACAAACAGTACTGTGTGTATGTATATATGTGTGTGTGTGTGTGTGTGTGTGTGTGTGTGTGTGTGTGTGTGCAGTAGAGAAAAAAAACAGTGTATTGGTACATCTCAAGAAAGCAAGCAAACGAAAGGGACGAATTGTGGCTGGCATTTAGTAGATAGTCGTAAATAATAATAAGGGGAACGCAATGAAAATGAAACGTGTTTTAATATACACGCATTTTAAGGGTGTTTTATACCTATTCGCCTTCAAACTTTTAGCTTTGCTGTATGTCCTGTTTTGCAAGCTGGAAGGAAAAGGCGTTACCATTCTGTTGGACGCCATTTTACTGACTGCATATTCTTGTTTAGACGAGACAAATCTACATGTGAATGTTGCAGCTTTTTTCATATAATATTTTAGTTTTGCTTTATATAATATTACATGGATTTATCTATTCATCGATTAATTGCCATTGTTTAATTTCCGGTTTAATTTTACAATAAAAGCAAATTTTTTTTTTTTTCATTTTTCCATTTTTTCTGTTTATTATATATATATGTATATATATCCTCGACACTTTAGTTAATTTTTGGTTTCATCTTTTCTATATAACCTTGACCTGATAATTAATAATTTTGTTAAATTTATGAATAAATGATATATATAATGCAATCGCTGACATTTATCTCCTCTTCTATCTTCATCGAAGGCAATTCGAATAGATTTTTGCAAAACGATTGTTACTGTTTTGATATTGACAGACAGCATTTCTTCTATGCGAATGAATGCTAGTGCTAGAGCATTCAAAATGCTCTCAATATAAAATTCAATCAAAGCAATTTCTCAGAATTCCTTCAAAGTTTATTTACTATAGTTCTTGGTGTTATTTACATATGTTTTTCTGCATAATACGTTTGCTGTTGTATTTATTTTGTTTATGTTTTTGTTCAGTTTTTTCGTTCAACTTTCTTTGAAAATTTTGAAGGTTTTTTTTTTTTTTTTATTAAGTTTCATAACTATCACCATGGACCATGGCAATATATTAATTTTCTCATACTCTTTGTAACACATGGAAGTATCTATCAAAGATTTAATACAAACAAAAAAGTGTACTTGAACTTGAATCTACTTATCTGTCTCTACTGAGTTTTCTTTTGCACGCACAACAATAAAAATTAAAAAAAAAAAAAAAAAAAAAAAAAAAATGGGAAAGTCTAATAAGTAAAAAAGCCATAGTCGATTTAAGATGAATCTTCGATTTCGGTTACCTTAATTTACAGGTATACGAGGGTAAAGAGTTAAATTTTAAATGACAATTTCTTCCACGGAACAAGGATATTTTCGATATTATTGCTATAAGCTATTGCTTTCTAAGACTAAGTCAAAATTTTGTTACCCTGAGCGTTGCAAGAAACGATGGGGTTAGACAAACGGACATTGGAGTTGGTATTAGTCAGAGTTTTACGCTTATCAAGAGTGTATGTAAAACTCTGTCGTAGTGAATAAAACAGTTTTCCCCATTACTCGCTGAACACATGAAAGCACAAGGAGCAGCCGGAAAATTGCAAAAATGTCATAAGCTAAATATGTTGAAATTGGGCGGTTCTCCTTAACTTACCTAGAGTTCGTTATTCATGATTCAGTTTAGATTCAAACCGACTTAACTTGTTAACTTGCTCTAACTTTTAAATGTTCTCTACATAGCACTTATCGGTATGGCCTGAATAGTTCAGTTGGAATGTGTACAACTTTTCATCCTAATTCTGAATCATTTCCAACATAATTGGGGGCGTTATTTTCGAAAGCCATCAGCAGCAGATCGAATTTCGCGGTTCTATATACCATATAACAATCTTGTTTTCAATAAACTTACTAAAGTCTTCAATGTGTTGTTAATGTAAGCAAATAAGAAAGTTATATTCGCGGCTATGGCAGAACCTCGTATACCCATTTCCCTTCAAATCTTTAGGGTTAATTAGGGCCTTTTATTTATGCGATAAAATTTATCTTTCACCTTTTACTTCACTTCACTTCACTTCACTTCACTTAATTAATGTCGAATTAACATATTTCGCTTTTCGCATTCTACTCTTCAAGACTTTTTACATGATACCCAGATCGTTGGTATTATTAAAAAAAAAAAACGTTAATCCACTATGGCGTGGTATTCGCCATATTTACTTTAGAATTAACGCATTTTTAAGCAGATAATATATCTTCTTTCGAGTAACGTACAAAATGGTTTTAAACATTCTGCTCTGTTTACTTTATGATTAATAAGGACAAAGCTTTAAAAATAGTTGAAGAAAGGAAAACTTAATCATTTGTAACCTTGGATTTTGTCCGCGGAGAATTTTGCAGATGCAGCTTGCGAGCAATGAGCATAAACGTAATTAGTTATATATATATAAACAGAGGTGTTCTCCGTTTACTTCATCGTATAGGCGTGTCCTTCGAACAATTTAGCCCATTTGCAATATCAATGTTTTCACCAAATTTGAAGTCGATGGTTTCATTTTTGCGATCATGACATTGCACAGACAGATAGACAGACAGATAGATAGACAGACAGACAGACAGACATTAAAATTGTTATATGTGCAAAATTGTCAATATCTTTTATGGGTTGTTAGTTTTAAATTTTCGGGTATTATACATAAAATTGGTAAACAGTGCACGCCTACTTTTATATATAAATTTAAATTTTCGGTTTTCAATCTTAAATACAATTTTGATAAGAGTAACGAGGAAGTACTTCAGACTAACATTTGTTAGTTCTATGCACAACTATTCTGTAAACTTATTTCAATAACGTTTCCCTTGAAATTTCTTAACGTAATGTTTGTAATAAAAATTGCATTAAATTCGTTTTGGATACGACGACAAGCAGTATAACAAGTAAGAAAATTATATTCGGTCGTGAACGAATCTTTTATACACATCACCGTTATTGTAAAAAAGTTTAAAAAATAGGGGAAAAAACTAAATTTTCATAGTCTATGATACTGGATAGGAGTAATAGATTTGCTCTATTTTTTAGAATAAAAGTTGAAAGCAAAAGACAGTTCACAGCTTTTGTTGGATAAGCGGGCGAGCATCGTAAGCGTTTCCTTTGACTGGTTTGGGTCCTTTTTCAAATTCTTTTGCAAATTTCGTTACGTTACGTTCATTTTCGCGACGAGAGAGAAGACACTATACCGGCAGATGGATGGACAGATGGACAGATGGGCAAACGAATAGGCGGATATGCTTAAATCGATTCAAAATTTAATCATGATCAAGAATGTGTGCACTTTGTGGGATCTCTGAGGTTTGTTCTTCCGCGAAACGTTGCAAACGTTTTCACAAAATAAACATACCTCTCATCCCTCGATGATGGGTATGAAAACAATGAACAAATGACGAACAACATAAATGAATGAATAAAAAAATCCCGAACTCTGTCTAATTGAAATTTGATGCTGTTAGAGAGGTGACAAACAGCAGACAACAATAATAACCATTGGAAACGAAGTGAAAAAGAGAGATAGACTGAGACTGGTGAATGAGTGAGATGGCGAAAAAGGAGAGAAATAAAGGCTCAAATTGCAATTGTCAGCATTAACTTTGTGTTACTAACTGCCATATAATAATAATAAAACAAAAAAAAAACAAAAAAAAAAAAAAAATCCTCAGGAAAAATTTTTTCGGGAAAAAAATATAAATATATATATATATATATATATATGAATGCAAAAATCTTTTAGAGTTATTTTCAAAATCACTTATATATGTAATTTAAGGTAAGTAGTGAAAGTGCATCGATATCCATAAACGTTTGCAGTTACTGCTCGAAGCCTTCGATATTTGCCTTTAGTCCGTCTTTCGTTTCTTCCTCAATATTATTTGATTTTATTATTATTTTGCTATTGGCTGTGGAACTTTTGCAGGCAACTTATGCCTTTTTTTACAAACTTGAGCAAGGGAATTGCACGTCTATAGTGATCGATTAAAATCGATACAAGTTACAAGAGATCATCATGTGAGAGAGAATTGACTAAAAGCATTAATAACATTTCACTGACCCGACTGATGATATAACAAATTTTCATAAATTGGAATAAGAAAATTTTCGACAATTCTAGCAAAAATAAAGCGATTCGATGAAGAGTCTCTTAGTTTGCATTGAAGTGACGTTAACCGATATTTTTTGATGTGAAATGAAAACAATGTTACAACAGCATCCTTTGGTGGTTGATATCAAAATTATAGAGAATTATCAATATAAAGAATTTGAGATTCTACTCGATTAAACGGAGGTGTTTATTTTTAATAAGCTTTCAGCACTTGGCTTAACTTAAAGGGTAGCCCGCAGCAACACCCTTACTATACGAAAAATTTCTATCGTAAATCTCTAATTGGCAACACGCCAAGGATTAAAAGACAATACAAATGATTTAATTTCGAAAACTCATGTGTTTGATGTTCTAAGCAAATTGACCACAAGTTGTTTTTAATAAGCTTTACCTGCAAAAAAAAAATGAAAAAAAAAATGAAAAGGAAAACGAAAAGGAAAGAAAAGTTTTTTTAAAAATAAAATTAAAAATAAAAATAACAGAATTGAATTTTTACATGCATACGTACGTATATGCATATCATCTTTATTTTTTTTTTTTTTTTTTTTGTTTATTACAAACATTTTGAAAGTTTTGAATTACTTGGTTCCCACACTTTGCACATGTGCTAAAATCAGCATAAATTAG